ATTTAAGTATTAAATATATTTTACAGCAATGAATTCTGTTCATGTTGTATTTAATCTTGTAAGTATAAAAAGACTTGGATCATGCCTTCTATATTTCAGGTCTTGATTGTAGATGAATAATACATTCACTACTTTAAAAAAATGAATTACTGTCCTCCTAATAATAGTAATCAACCACTCTCTTTTTATCTCAAATTGTCAAAGTACATAGTATAAAGAAGCTCAGGAAAAAAAGGCTTATTAAAGTGAATGTGGCTTAACTTTCACTGAAAGAAAGGTGAAGGAAGGGAAGGAAATGTGTGTATCTCTTGAAAGGAAAGCTGCTGGCCAGCATGGGGTTGCTATGGAGATGCCTTTAGACCTTGATACTAAATTCTGCTCATTTAAGGCACAATCCTATGCAAGCTTAAATAGGAAAAGGCTTACAACCTGCAGCATGTCCCAGCCAAAAAAGAAAAAAAGTTTAGGAAGAAAAATCCCTACAACTCCCAGCATAGGATAGCAAAAAAAAACTTACATAGGATAACACCTTTTTGTATTACAGTTGTATTTATATCCTGCTTTTACTTCCTCCGAGGAGCCCAACTTGGCCCAATTTATCCTCGCAGCAACAACACTGTGAGGTAGGTTAGGCTGAGAGTCAGTGACTAGCCCAAACTCACCCAGTGAGATTCATGGCAGGGACTAAAACCTAGATCTCCTGCGACCTAACCTAACACTCTACGAGTAATTACCACACTACACTGGCTCTTGGCTTTGACCCTACATGCCCTTACATGGAAGCAAATCCCACTGAATTCTATGGGCCTTACCTCAAATTATAGAGGGACAAGACTGTACTTGTCAATATCACTGAAGAATTACATTCTTGCAACTAGTTTAAAGCTATACAGATGTATAGGTAAATAGAGGCGAGATACTATAAATAAAACTTCATTGACTTCACAAGTTACGTATCCCTTTGCGTCACTTCATAAAGCATGTACATAGGAACTTGCCTTATACTGACTCAAGTAATTAATTCAGTATTGTCTATCCTGACATACTGAGTTTTTCCCAGCCCTACCAACTAGCCATTGAATCTGGAACCAAAGCAGGTACTCTGTTACTGAGCTGGAACAACTACCTGTTGATCCATTCATCATGAAGTGTTGGGCATAACACAATGTGTTATATGTGCAGACATCTACTTCAAAATCCTAATTTCTTGATTCCTGTCAAGTAGCTGTTTTTTTTTTTCTGATCTTAACTTGTTGATTATGTCCAAGAAAAGTTATGTTAGTCAATTTTGCATCATGATAAACTAATATAAAAACAAAGCCAAATGTGGCAAATTTGAACGCAACAGTGTCTTTTTGACAGCAGAATGGACACTACTGTACTTGTTCATCTAGTACAGGGGTCCTCAAACTTTTTCAATAGGGGGCCAGTTGAAATGGGGCAGCTACACGCACGGGCTGGTGAGGGTGGGGTGCCCGGGCACGTAGGCTGCTGAGGTGTCTTTGGGTGCGTGCAAGGTGGCGTTGGGCATGTGCGAAGGCGACTCACTCACTCGGAGATCTCCCAACGAGTCCAAAACCATCTCCGAGTGAGCAAACCACTCACTCAAGTGGGCAGCGGGCGGTGGCACCGGCCAGATGAAAGGGCATGACAGGCCGGATCCGTCCCGCAGGCCATAGTTTGAGGACCCATGATCTAGCATCTTCTACCTGAAGCCAGCCATCTTCTCTCTCCTCCGCCAAAATATTCTTCTGAAGAAGATTTGGTGGTGGAAAATTGGTGTGTGTGAAGGTTCTTCTCATTGTGCAAGAAGAATTCTGCACATGTAACATGGCTGTAGCCTATTGGCTTTTCATATCAGTATCTTTTAAACAAGGCACATATCATTTATCAAGTATAACAAGTCTGCACCAGAAAGAGGTCCCTAAATATTCTAATATATTAGAATAGCCAACCAGGGAACAAATTGGTTTCAATATGAAGGCTGAATAAGAACACAGACTTTGGAAAGGCACCTATATTCTTATGAAATATTCTGCTCAAAATTGTGAGTGTATTTTAAATGTCAGAGCTGCAGCTTTTCTCTTATACTCCAACAAAAATAAAACTTCTGCACATTTGCCCCAGGACATGGACTCTTCACCAGTCATCTCGGGTTAGTCACGGGCTGCCTGAGACTATCATGCAAGCTGCAGTTGTGATCAAGTGCAAAAATAGTTCAGTCTACATACATCTCTGAACAACCGAGCTCTTAAAAAACAGTTCTGTGTATATTTTATGCTTGAATAGCCTACAACATAATTTGATTAAAAGAGAACAATTTTATTTATGAAATATATGCCACATAGTTTGATCTACAGAGCAGCTGAACAGCAGCACTTCAGTTTAATCTAATTCTGAATTGTTGACACTGCCCAGAAGTGAGGTTAAATACTTTCCGGTCAATTCTTGATAAGGAGAGAGGGCTCCCATAGCGGGTAGAGGTCAGAGACTCTTGATAGGGAGAAAATAAGTTTCTCTTGCTTTCTTGCCAACCATTCCTGTAGCATCTCCTCTGCTTTCCACTCTCCATGCCTTATAGGGGAGTTTTGGGATGCATATATGTGGGGCGAGAACGGCCTGGTCCAAACCTAGATGCAACAATGCATAAAGCTGCCAAATCCTAGCTACACCTACTTTGAAGGAAGCCAAATTGAACTAGCCGGAATGAGTGTCTGAGCAAACCTGCATAGGACTGCGCTGCAAATCTTTCTCGGCGAATTTACACTTTACAAATATGGACAACAACCTTCCTTTGCCCAGGACGCGGCGTTTAGGGCGACACCACTCTGGGAAGTCTGGACAGCGAGAGCTCCGTACGCCTCGCCCAGGACGCTGAGTGGGGCTCCTCGATGTTTCTTGCGACATCCACCGCAGACGCACGTGCCTGCCTCGAATGACTCGGAACTGTGCACAGCCCGTTATGCGACAGGGCAAAGCGAGCGGCGCCGGATTAGCGGGCAAAGCCCCTCCAGGCATGCACGGGCGGAACGGCTGGCCGGGCGCACCCCGCCCGCTCCCGCCCTCCGTGCGCCGGTTTCCGCTCGTTCGCAGCCTCCAGGAATCCCGGGGGCGTGGGGCGGCGGATCGCGCCTGCGCGAGGGCCGGGCGTCTCAGCCGCTGCAGCCGAAGAGGCTGGGAGAGCTGGAAGCCCGCAGCTGCCGCGCGCGCCTGCCTGCCTGCCTGCCTGCCTGCCTGCCTGCCTGGGAGGTGCGTGGTTGTAGGGGGTGGTGGGCTTCGGGGAGGGCTGCCGGGGGGGGGGCATGCCGGGGGCAGCGGGCGCACGAGCCCGCGCTCCTCCGAAGCCATTTCTCCGAACGGCTCTGCTCAGCGAGCCGGGCGGGCTGCGGTTTCCTTTGGAGAGTTGCGTGGCGGAGTCGCGTCCGGGGAAGCGGCGGGCGGCGCTGTGCGAGGCGGTGGGCCGCGCGCGAGCGAGCGAGCGCTTTTGCCAGCCTCGGGCAGCGCCCTGTCCTGTCCCGGGACGCTGCAGCGGTCCTGCCTGGGCACACTGGGTCCCGGCTCGGGTGCCGCGAGTTGTGTTTGCGGCTGGCCGTTCTTGTCGGTACTGATCAGTAACTCTGCTGGGAGAGACCGCGGATTTCGGGTGGCTTTTAGTTCTAGGAAGGTGCCTTGGATGGCTGAAGTTTGGGAAACGACCCGATCCGTTGAGGGATCAAAAAGCGCACGGCAATGTCTGTGGTTGCCACCAAGCGGACAGTGTATCTGGGATTTACGCTGTGGCTTTGCTCTCGGGAGGGAGTCGACACGTGAATCAAGAATTGTAGGGATTTAAAGGCCTTACTTGCTTTAATATAATAATACTACGTTTTCCAATCACAAGCAGTTAAATGGCTGTTCTGAACGAAGTGACCTTAAGCAGTGCTGTCCCTGATCCTCCTCCACCATCTCCCTGCCTTTCACAATGTTAAATAGCTCACTCTCCTTCCAATTCAATCCATGCTGACTTTACCAAGTGACTATCCACACTTTCTGGTTTCTTCAGACGTGAGCCTTGACTTCCTCTGATTCTTTCGGTATTGTTGTTATCTTTGTCAGAAAACACCCCCCACCCCGCCGCCTTAGGAACAATAGAGAAGGCATTGTACTTCAAAGTTTGCTGCAGAAAAAAATGTCCTTTGCTAAAAGGCTGCCTTCAATTACTCTGTACATCTCTTCTGACTATATCTGTGCAAAATGATACATGCTTTTAAAATGTTTTCTATAAGTGACGTCAAGCATGATGGGTTACTTGATGGCTGCATGATGTGATTTGACATATTTGTGTGAGTGTCCAACCTACAGATCACTATTCACTATGAAGCTCATGTCCACCTATTTCTCTTCATTCCTCAAATGTATATAAGTGCACTGAGCCTGTACTTTAGCATGAAATGGGGCTAAAATGAATATTTATGATAAGGCTAAAATACATGGTAATGCACATATACATAAATAGTTGTTAAGCAGGGTGCTCATACAGTTCAGACAACAGCAAAGAAGTATTTATGAATTTTAAGACTCTGTTTTCAAGCATCATAACTTCTTATGAAGTTTAAACTTTCTGTGCTTAAAGAGATGGCTTAATACATGCTGTTTATGTTTTTGGCCCTTGTTTTTGCTTCAGTTACGTGTAGAGATAACAAATTCTGGAAAATGGTCTCTTCCTCCCTCCTTCCCCCTCCCTTTTAGCAAACAGACACTAAAATTGCTTTGCAGACAGCATTGGGCTTTCAGACAAGTAAACTCTTAGAAAAATATGGAAATCAAATCAGCTTTGCAATTAGGGGGAACTGGATGTTGTTGATCAAAAGAGCCCATTATCCCACCATTAATACCTATTGCATACATGTTACAAAGATGTTCAATATGACCCACAAAACATAAATACCAAATTATTCTATTTTCACCATGAATAAAAATATACACATTACAGCATTTAACAACAAAAGAAATAACCCAACCTTCATACAGTTCACAGCAGTCATTCTCCACCAGTTTAATCTCCAACTTTCCATTAGCCTGCAATTCTAAGAGCATAAAAGAGAGGGGGTATCTAATGTCATATTTTGCTAAAATGCTTTAATAAATTAAAAACTAAGTATAGTATGTATATTATGCTCCTTACACTTATCCTACATATGAAAAAAATCCAAGCCCATGCTTTCCATCTCTCATTTTCCAAGATAAGTGTCATTGGATGGCTATTTTAATAATTTATTTTGCCCAGTCATTTTTAAAAAATCAATTTAGCAAGTAAAAAAAGTAAGAATTATATTTTAAGTTGCATTCATTCACTTACAACCCTACTGTGTTGAAATTGGAGAATATCTTCTATGAAATATGTACAATTTGTAATCGGCATATCATAAATTTACCAATGCCACCTTCCAGGTATACAGATTAAATCAGCACTGAAGTCCAAAATGAGGATTCTGTCCTACTGCTGGAGTCTAGTTATTTAAAATCATTATGCCCCACTTTTAAAAAGCTCTAGGTGTCTAACAAGTCAAAATCAGAACAAAACTACTGAAAGCAGAGGCATACAAGGCAGTAAAAAGTTGGCTTTTAAAGATGCAACCCACTGTCACTGGAAGAGCCTTGCAGGGGCATAGGATGTCTTGAATCACCTCCTTCCAGTGGCTCAGAGATAGGTCCAACCTGAGAGGGAGAAATGTGGCATCATTACATCTCAGCCCCATGGAAGCTACTGTGGCACTTACCTCTGCAGAAACTCTGCTGTGAAAGGCAAAAGGGGAGCACTGCAGGGGTGGACTGGAAGAAGAGTTCCAGTTTCATTTCTAGCATTAGGGAAAATGTGTGCCAGCCTTGGAGGTTGCATATATACTTCTCATTCCATTGCAACAGGAGGGAAGTGTCATAATACAGAGTGGGAGAGGAACTGGAAGAGGGCGGGGGGGTCTTTGATTCCAGCTCCTCCCAGCGGAACTTTAGAAAAGTGGTTCCTTCACTTACAAATCTACCAGCCACAATGTGCCCAACAGTAGAGAACAGACAGCAGAAAAGACAGTTTGGTGCAGCAAACATGTAGGATCTTAAATCATTTTCAGTAACCATCCTAATTGTTTGACTAGCAGCTGTCCCTGCCCTTGAGTGGGACAGACACTTCTTTTTCTATAATTTGCAATGTATTCTGATTTCCAACCAAAAATTCCTCTGGATTACTTCATTTCCCCTTTCTACACAACTCTGGTTTCCTGAAAAGTCATCCCCAACAGATAGGACCTCTTTTATCTTTATAGAAGATTTATTATAGAAAGACTTGCTGCTCCTAACATCTTGTTCTGAAAAGTATCAGTAAAACTGGCCAAACCTTTTCACTTTTCTGCATGGCAAGAGCTGTGAATTGCAGTAACAGATCCTTAGAAATGTGGATCTCATTTGAAACTTTTCCTGGCAGCTAGAGAATGAAAAGAGAAATGTTAAATGAAAGGTTAAAGAGAAGCCTTGAGAAACTATGCTTTAGTAATTTAGTCTTTCAGAGCAAAGCCAAGTCTTCTGTTCTTCATATGCTGGAGGGATTTATCCTTTTTTGATAATTATATTTCATAACTGGTCTAAATTAGTTCCGATATTGTGAGGATAGTTGTTACTTACCAAGTGGTAATATGCTGCAGTGGGCATGAAATCATACTGGAAATCACTTAATTATAGTGATCTCTTAAGCTTGGCTACCATTCTGCACTTAATTAGAAGTTTTTCACACATGCTACAAACAACAGGATTGCCCATGGTTGTATGGCACTGTGGTAAGCTAACACTGGAAGATTAGATATCCAAATACACCCACAAGCTGTCTAGCTTCTGTAGAATTACTCAGCTCTGAAATCTGAGTAATGCTTTAGTTCATATTTTGAGCCCATTGAATTTTTTTGGGCAGCAGTAAAGTTTCCTGAATCCTTTCCAACTGTTTTATTATCAAGGAGGAAATCTAAACCAGAGTTTTTCAACTGCCCGGTTTGCTAGCATTTCCAGAGGTCTGTGAAAGAGGCGCTGCTGTGCTGAGGAGGCTGGGCAGGGGAGAGGCAGCTCATTGGGAGCCCAGCTGGGAGCCACACTGTGCTGGGACCCAAAGACAGGGCCTAGTGGGGAAATGGCCGCAATTGTGCGGGGGACGGGGGGGGGGAGATGGCCGAGATCGCACCCATCTCTCCCTCCCCCAGCACGCCGTTTGTGCCTGTCTCTTTTTCCCCCAGCACGCCTGTGATCACGCCCATCTCTCTCCCCCCCACCCCAGAGCACACAGGGTGACGGGCGCATGCCGGGATGATGGGTGCCTACAGGGATGACAGGCACGTGCAGGGATGACAGGCACGATCTCGGTTGTGCTGGGGGGGGGGGGAGATGGCCGCACTTGTGCTCGGGGTGGCAGGGGGAGATGGCTGCGACCTTTGTTGTTGTCACTTTGCTTTATATTTTTCTAATTTAAAAAATGGTTACAGAACAGATTCACCATTATTAAGGTTATTTACATTGAACCTTATGGGGAAATTTAACTTGGCTCATGTCCAGTTTGGGTCATGACCAGAGTCCTGGAATGGATTAAGTTCGTGAGCCAAGGTACCACTGTATTTATTCTGAATTTGATCGTACTTGCACTGCAACTGTGTTTCTGGATTGACACGCTCTTTCAGTGACCCCCACACTTCAGTGTGTCTCTGCAGATTCATCTTGAGATTTGATGCCTGTGATAAAGGGGACTATATTCCATGGGAGTTTGTGCTAAAATAAATGTGTCAGTCTTTAAGGTACCACAAGACTCTGTTGCTTTTATGGCAACAGATTAACTTGGCTACCCATCTGGATTTTGAGATTTGTGTCTCTCCATCACCACCTCTTTCTAATTGCTTCAGCCAGTAGGTCAAACATAATGCCTCATGCTAAATAGATTTCTGAGTTTTATAGCATATACAGAGTTCATTGTAGAGAAAATGGACTTCAACCATATCTGAGAGATCTCCAGTTAGCTGTTTTGGGAAGATCTTGTCTAAGGGCTCTTTTTGCTCACACAGGTAAGCCAGGTATGTTGCAGTATACAAATCTGGCATAATAATGCCTTTTAAAGTAGGATAAACTTCAGTTGAACTAGAGCTATAAAGCTTTGTTAAATCTCCCACGAAATCATTTCTGAAAGCCAGGATTTAAGCAGATACGTCATTGAGTAAGTGACATTTAGACTGACTGTATTGAAATTGACAATAATATAAGACAAGTGCAAAACTTCAGAAAAGTGGGGCAGAGGAGAATAAAGTCTCTGGGGTTTGGAGAGGAGAGGTTCTGGTATTTTGTTCTCTTCAGGTTCCTGCTGTCATACACCCCCATAAACCTGCTTTCCATTTGAATTCATAATAGAGAAAGGATAATGATAATCATTTGTTCCATAGGTTGTGAACCTACCTACAGCCAGTCATGTACTAGGGAGAAAGTTTAGCTTTCTGTTTAGATATAGTCTTGGTTTTCACATATTATCACTTCATTTCTGCACCACCCAATATGCTAACCATTGTTTTATTTACATGGTTTCTTGCCTTCCCTAGCCGTTGCCCAATAGATGATTGACCAAAACATGATTTGTATTCTCAAATCCTGGCTAGTTTCTCTTCTCCTTTGCTTGTACCCTCCCCCTGTCCTAGTTACTTTGCAGCACTGCAGCACTGGCATATAGAGCAGCTGACCTTTTTAACCATCCCTAGCCATTACTTTTGCTTGCTATTACTGTAGCCTAATGAAACAATCTTTAGTTCTTACCATCTGTCCAGTGGGGCCAACCAGTGAACTGTAGTGGAAACCTTGGACTGAATTCAACAGGTGCTTACACACACCACCAATTCCTTTCTACGAGTGGAAGGTTCCATCATTATTGCAAGGGAAATCCAGCACTTCGTACAAAAGCTTGTTTCTAGAAGGACCATCTCATTGGTTTCTGCTCTGTAGAATTAGGATGAATAGAATGTTGTTTAAACTGTTTCCCAGTATTTCGGTCTACATTGTTTCAGAAACTTAACATGGTATATAAACAATCTAACAACAACAACAGTAGCAACTTTATGCTTGATTGTATTATTTTCTCATGTTTTTAACCATTGCTCCTTGTCAGATGCAACACTGTCTGATATACTGGGATTGTTTTTGACAGACAGTAGGTGTTGAACACAAAGTCCCTGTGGATAGCTTAGAGCAGGAAATGTCTGCTTCCTGACTACAACTTTAACATTACGCCGAGCTAGCTATTTTTGCATTTTGCATTATTGTCCTGAATGAATTCTTTTGCCAGAGGAAAAAGAATCTTACCTTTCTAGAGAACTAAAGTTATTGGCACAAAATCTAATGGTAACAATCACATATAAAGGTTACCTGTCAGTCCAGGTTTATTAAACAGTAGTGTGCACAATGAGTGTGCCGGTATGTGCCATCCATTCGCCCCTCCCTTTGCACAAGTTGGTAAAGAAACCAACAAATCACAGTTAAGAATAAACTCCTGTTAAATCTGAACTAAGGGCTGTAGTTAATTCCTGCCAAACAAGCAAAGGTTAGAAGCCAGCTTTAAAGCTTCCATTCCTGGTTTCTTTTGAAGCCATTTACTGTTAGCCATTTACTGTTACTGCCCAGTAATCAGCAGCTATGCTGAACTCTAACTTGTTGCAGCCATTCATATAAAAGAAGGAATGATTTGGGAATGGTCACGTGCGATGCGCTGCTGAACTACTGTGCACATCATAGTTTCGTAAGCCACACCGTTGGCTTACTTTTCTGTGTAAATGCAGGCAATAGAATGTTTCTATGTCAAGTCAAAACATCAAATGAAGATAAGCTGTCACAACTGCTCAAAAGTATAGTTATTTACTGGAAAGCCTCTTTAAAGGTGACATAGAATAGGATGGGGATAATCTTGTTAATTTTATAAAATATTTTAAATTCTAAAAACAATTTCCTGTCCTAAACACTCAAGTAGCTGTAGTTATTACAGTCTGAAGTATGCAAGTAGATGCACCCAGATTAGAATTATACTAAGAACGAAAGCAGTAATTGATTATGGAGGGAAACTATTATGGAGACAATTGACACATAATTATATCATAGAGCAGCAGTCAATTTAAATTCAATATTTGCAAGTGTTTTTCTTTAGTAAACTGCCTGTTGTGTCATCTTTTTACAAATATGCGGTGGAAAAAACTGTTCTGTTAGATGAGTAACTGAAAATAAATCTGTGAATCAAAACAGAAAGGACTAAAGTCTTCAAGGTCAGTGTGGGAAGCAAATGCTGCAAATTGCTGGGAAAGAGAGGAACTAGAATTTGTGGTTATACTGCTTTGCACTCCAGTGAGTACTGTCTTCTGGACAAGTTACTTGCTTTACCAAGTACCAAATTGCCTTTACCAAGGCAATTTATGGTGCTGCTCAGACAGTTTTTTAAATGGCCAAATGCAGTTATAGTCCCCAGAGGTAGTCTATCCCTGGCATAGGCCCACATATAATTGAGTCGCAGCACAAACCAATGAATGTGGGAAAATCTGTGAATCAGATATGGACATTCTGAAGGTCATTTGTAGCTTTAAATTTCGTACAAGAAGTTCTTAATAGAAACAGACTGATGAGATGCTGATGCAAACTACAAAAGGATTGTTGTGGTCTAGGCAGCTTACTTAAGCAACATTCCATAAATGCTTATGGAATTCATGAACTTAAATCTTAAGTAACATTAAAGATAAAGTTCAAAATAAACTAAATTGTATGGAAAAATTAAAGATGACCATCAAAATAGATAAATGGGTGAAACCAATATTTGCCCAAACAGTTCTGACAGAGACCAGATAAGAATATGTTTGAAATCAAGAGGTAGGCTAAAGAACATGTAAAAACCTGTTTGTCTTCTTGTTTTTAAATGAAAATGAACTGTTCATTTTTTCCCACTAGTTAGTTCAATAAATCAGGTGTGGCTTAAGTAATGTAATTGTTTTCCTCCAGGGCTCTTTGTAATCTTCTGCAAGTAGAAATCCACAGTGCTTATGTCAAACCTATGTGTAATTAATTTATTACTTCAGTGAATAAGAAAAGGCCTGAGCAAGAGTGTATTTATGTATTATCTGTCCTGAATCTCTCCCTAATCAACTACAAGAATGGGGGGGGGGGATTTATTTATTTGTTTGTTCATTTATTCAAGCTTTTGTTGACTGTCACAATAGCCACATGGCTCTCAGAAGGGTTTACAGTAGTTAAAAAACAATCTAACAAAACATAAAAAACATAAAAGTATCTGCCAGTAGGTTTTCTCTTCACACACATGATTTTGTAAGCTTGTATCATGTCTCCCCTACTCAACTTTTTCCTAAGCTGAACAATCATAGATGTTGTAACCTTTTCTCATAAGACAGTTGTTCCAGGCTGTTGATGATTTTAGTTACCCTTTTCTGCCCATTTTCCAACACTACAGTATCACCTAGGTGTGATGACCAGAACTATGTGCAGTATTTTCAGTGTGACTGCACCATAGCTTTGCATAAAGTGTGCATAAGGTGAGCATAATATTGGCAGTTTTATTTGCAGCTCCCTTCCTAATTTATGGCAGGGTGTTTGCCATTTTCACAGTGGCCACAAATGGGCTTGACGGTTCCATCCCAACCCCAAGATTTCATCTCTGGCCATTCACCACTACATCAGAGCCCATCAGTTTATACATGTACCTGGGATTTCCTCCCCCCCCCTTTTTTTTTTTTTTACTCCAGCATGCATCAGTTTATTCTTGCTTATGCTGAACTGCATGTGTCATTTTAATGTAAGTTCTCCCAGACTGAGAGATAGTTTTGGAATTTCTGTCAATCCTGTTTCATTTTAAGCATTTGAAAGAATTTGGTGTCATTATCAAAATCAGCCACTTCACTGCTCAATTCTAATTCCAAATAATTTATGAATAAATGTTAAACATTGTCCCACAAAAGATTCCTAGGAGATCTAGCTGTTGGCATCTCTCCACTGGGAGAATTTACCATGTATTCCTTTTCTCTGCTTTCTGTTCTTTAACCGGTTTCTGATCCTTAAGAGGACCTCCCTGCTGACTCCATGACTGCTAAGTGTGCTCAGGAGCCTTGGGTGAGGGACTTTGTCAAAAGCCTTTTGGAAATCCAGGTAAACAATGTCCAACAGATCACCACTTTCCATATGTTTATTGACACACTCAAAGAACTCCAAAAGCTTAATGATCTTTATTGAGGACCACTGTGCACAACAATGCATTTCAACTTGTTTTATGTGCATCTCAAACTTTTGGTGACCCTGTGAATTTAAAGCCCTCCCAAATGTACTATCTATGACAGCCATGTTCCCGTCTGAGAAGCTCAAGGCTGAGGCTTCCTTTAAAGAATCAATCCATCTTATATTTGCTCTTCCTTTTCTTCTACCTTTGACTTTTCCAAGCATGATTGGAAAAATGTCCATTCTAAACATTTTTGTCCTTGTTAGGCAAATTTTACTAACATGTTTACTCTTCAGTCTAATTGTTTAATAAACAAACCATGTATGAAATATATTCAAGATAGACTCTGTTCTTTGGTCAAAATTCATAGAGATAGAATTCTGCCTAAGTCTCACTGAAGTAAGTTATATGCATCTATTTTGTGTCCCATTAATTTCAGTGGGACTTTAGTACAGAGAACTTTTGGATTTCAGCCATTGTATAATATATTGTTTGTTAAACGCCTCATTGCATTTGTTCAGGTATGCATCATACCCTTTACTTGGCAATAAGCTAAGAGAGCTGCCAAACAGCAGTCTCTGCTGAACACAAAAGAACTTCATCTGACATATTACCTTGTATGGTTTGCAACAAACTCACTGGTGTATGACATAAATATACACAATCACTCCCAAGGTTAGATTACTGATCTCTATATTACTCTTCTCTCTCCTGTCATCAGTACTTTCACACAAATCGTTAAGTGGTAGTGGGAAATATTCTCCCTCAAACCAACACAGCAAACTTCACATAATACTTCATCACATTCCCCAGAAATATGGTGGGAGGGCAAGGGAAAGCAGCCCAGTCTTTTAAATATACAACATACTATGAAAACTGGCATCATACAGTAAGTAAACTCAGAGAGTTGCATAAAAGGTCCACCAGAAAGAACCAGTTGTATTGCAAAACTTCATGGCTTGGTGTTCTCACGGTTCATTTTGATACCTGAAAACAATGTGGGAATGATTGATGGAATTAGCTCTGAGAAAAACTTACTATTTTTGTTAACAAGTCCATTATACGTCATGGCCTGGTTCACATGTTGCAACTATGCATGGGTTGTTTAAAACCTGGATAGTTATAAATGATCAAGCACAAGTGCATTGGCTCCTACTGAGCTAAAGAACAAAGGGGCAAACCAGAAATGTGGTTTGTTGAGGGAGGGACAACTCCTGGAGTGTTTATCATGGATTACATTGTAATACCAGACTGGGCATGATCAGTTATACAGGGTACACAAGTATTCCATAAATGTTCATGGCCAGTTTGTTAATATGGTATGAATAATATCTATGGAGTTTAAAAATACTAAATTTGTTTTATGTAGTAGCCAGTTATACAGATGATGGAACTCATTTGTCACTATCTTTAGATGGCAGAGGCCCAAAGGCATGGGAATCATGAGATTATCTTAGTGCTCTTAAGCACACTGTGTGGAAATCTCTCTGGGACAGTTTCATATCTTCAACAGAACATAGTAACACTATGAGTAAATGAGGTGCAAGGGTATAACAAGAGTCTAACTGTCCTTTCAGAATGAACTAGCATATAACTTGACAAAACTTAATGAGTTTTATATGCTTTTTGACCAAGATCCTTTTTTTACATTCACAGGGCAACTGTTTCAGAACTGTTACAGAAATTCTAGGAAGCAGTACTAAACATGGATGGTGGTAAGTGTACATGTATATTGAAGTTGCTACTTGATCAGAAAATATGTAATACTGGACCAATAGTTTTGGTTTTTCTGTGTTGGCAAGAGTGTCTTCTTTCTTCCTTAGATGCATTTTTCCAGTTTTATCAATGAAAAGTTTCCCCTCTTACTCCACACCAACTGATTAGCTTCTCTAGCAGCCTCACAGGGGTCAAGTTGTTATTTTAATGCTAAAATGATTGTGTGGTAGAGAAATTGCAAGCATGCAAACCTAGACCTGACACGATAAAACAGTGTGTTAATAACAATTGAGGCTGTGAAGAAATTTATGAAATATATTGATCTGAAAGCCATTGACATGTTTTATTTACCTGTTTAGACAGGCATAATTTCTCCTATTACTATCTGGAATGCTTGATGCTAAAGGAGACCTTCCTGTAGGAGAAAAAAATATGATTTTCTTTTTTTTCCCCCCTGGATCTTGGCTATTTCCATATGAGCTGGCATATTTAATTATAATTGAATAAAATGGGGTTTGATTTGTTCTTGTGCCACAAATCTTCTTTTCTTTTCCTCTGTGGTTACATTCAATCAAGGAAGCAAATCATATCCATGTGCATACTATATGGACATGAATTGTTTGTATTTGTGCTGTTCCATGGATTCAGAACTTACAGGTGTAGGTTTGGTATGTTATGTTATGTTGATTATGTTAGTCTGTCTTCATACTGTTTTAAATATTGCTACCTTCTTGAATCCCTTGCTTAATGGATAAGGAAAGCAAAGTTATTTTAATGATGGCAAATCAGTTAATAAACACAGATTTATGTTTTAATAAAAGTATGCACCTCCCTGCCCTAGAACAGAGGTGGACACCTCTTGCATTTTGTATGTTTAGGCCTACCATTTTCATCATCCCTAGCCATCCCAGTTGTAGCCATGAAGAAAAATGGGAAGTCTGGCCTTCCAATACTTTGTGCTAGAAGTTGCCCACCTCTGCCATTTGTATTTATCCTGGACTCTTGAAAATCTAAATGCTTCAACTCATTCTTTTTTTCTGCAGTGTTCCTCACAGAGACAAGAGCCAATTCTATCTTAAAAAGATATCCACGGGCTAATGGACTTTGGGAAGAGCTTAAGCAAGGAAACATTGAACGTGAATGCTTTGAAGAACGTTGTGATAAAGAAGAGGCAAGAGAAGCTTTTGAAAATGATGAGAAGACGGTGAGTTAGCTACAGTACATGGAAAAGGATGCTTCATAGGTTAATATGTCATAAAGTGGACTACCTTAGATTGCATGATGAACATATTATGACTGATTTTGTTGCCATCTTAAAGAATGATGATAGATAAAAAGAAGTTTACTAAGAAGGTGATATTTGGATAAATTTGAGAGTCTTTGACCTGTCTCATCCTTGTTCCTCATCTTTCTGCTGAATCAGTCAAGAGCTAGCTTCCAGCAGGCCTACATGAAGTAACTTGTTTTAACTGCTACTTGATGACTCTTGCATGCATATACATTTGATTTATGTGCATAAGTGGAACTCTCCAAACCTGTGGCTATGAACACATTTTTGGCTCAAAGTTGCTAGGTTTGAATGGTTGGAACATGCCTTGTAAGGTATAGCATAATTAATAAATTTTATGTCAGAATGAAATAGTAAAATGCTTAATATTTTACCTGAAATGGTGGTGAATGGGCATTTCTATCTAATTTTTACATATCAAGTATCTTACCCTAATGGAACAAATGTTCATGTTTCTTCATCTTTGATCAGGAAGCAAATTTAAAGCTGTAGCAAATTGTAAGCTAGAGAAAAGAGAACCTGAATAACTAGAAACTCTTGCCTCACAAGTTGCTCAACCCCTTGCTGAAGCTGGAGAGAGCTGTCCTCTGTCCACAGCCTCACATCTTTGTGGTGACTTCATCCACAGATCAAGTGGATTTTTTTTTTGTAAAGGAATCCCTCATGCATGGCAGTTCCATGCAGTTGCAGCCGGGTGTCCCAACTGCATGAGGTTCTTCTGTGTAAGCAGCTACTTGAGTGAAGGAGGTTCCCTTGCAGGCAATTTTACTTAACACAATAGCATCAGAAAGAGCTCATGCAGTGATACGAAGTCAGAGCAAGGTGAAAAACACAGCTGTACCCCTTCTTCACCATGAGAGTGCCTTAAATGCAAGCAAGACATGAATAGGGCTCATATCTAATCTCATGTGTAGATGATGAAATCATTCTTCCATCCTACCCTTGTGTACACTTGTGAGTGAATTCCATTGAAGTAGAGACTGACTTCCAAAAAAACCCAAACATGGCATTGGGCAAATAGAGGTTTTTGTTTTTTTTCCCCTTCTCATACGATTTTACTAATTTTCAAATTTATGTTCTGGTGTTAGGGGACAAAGTTGTTGGGTCTGTAACTTGTAGCTTCTCATTTCAAGTCAGGAGGTGTGCTTTGGGAATATCCAAGCTGAAAGGCAGAACGAGTGTACTGTTCAAAATGTTCATTACTTGGAAGCAGTGCTGTTCCAAATTTTGCCATTCTGAAAATGCAAAGTATGAGGGTGATTTTACTACTATAAGGCTAAGATAGTCTCTCCCCATCTATTTTGCCTGCAAGTATGAGAAAGGAATGAGACTACAGTTAAGAGATGTGTTAACACAGAAGTATTAAGAATCTGGTGCTGCTTTAACCAAAATGTATTGGCAAGAGAAGCCTCTCAGAAAATGTATTTGTTCATGTTGTAGCAAGGTCAGTCTTTCATTTAACTTTGAACCAGAAGATAATAATTTCTCAGAAAATCTGTTTTTTTTCTTCTGCATTGTTTTTAGATGGAGTTTTGGAAAGAGTACACAAATGGACGCCATGGAGAAAGTAGCACAGTACATAACTGGTATCCATTTTACCTTGTATTTCCATTAATTATTGGCCTTTTAATTATCATTCTTATCATATTTGTCACTTGGAGATGCCTGTTCAAAAAGAAAATGCGAAGACGGTCCATGTATGCACATAACAGAACCAGAGAAATAACAGGTGAGAGAAACATTGCTGACGGTAGAAGTTCCCTTCCTCAGCCACTCAGCATTCTTCAGTCCCCACAAGAAGAGATGTTTGAAGGCAGTGTACACTCTCCGGGATATCTGAGCTACACAGATGCGCATGCAGACTCCATATCAATAAGGCTATCAGGCTGTGACCCACCTCCTTCGTATGAAGAAGTTGCCGGTGAAAATGGCATGAGAAGAAATGAAATGGAAAATCACTTGGATCCACCTCCTCAATATGAAGACATCATGAATAGCATTCCAGTACCTCCTGTGACCATCAAATAAAGCAGGAAGAGTACTAAATCATTTCCTAAGAAGGGTCGGGGAGACCCTAGGACTTTTTAGCACTTTATTGCAGCTTGATATTTATATATTTCAAGTATTTCTACTGTATTACACTACTTCCTCTTCCTCTATCCCAAATTTGGTCTGCCCTGTGGAATGTCTTCTTTTCTGGGAGACAATCAATCATCAGTGTGGTTGTATGTACTTCCAGAGATGCCAATTAAGTCAGTTGGTATTCTTTTTTATATTATTACTGAAAGCAGTTTTGTAGTAAATTTAACAGACTCAGTAATGACAAAATTAGAGGATTAATGCCAAAAAGGGAACAGGGTAATTACAATTCTCTTGAGAGGCCCAAATAAAACTCTTTTTTGCCCTTATCATTCATCAGTAGTCACACAGAACCGGAACAAGCAAATAAACTGGCACAAATGGTGATACCCATCTTTCTGCCAGAGAGAGCCAGTTGTCATAAGTGAAGCTGAAATATTTTAATAGTGCTCTTTAGTGTGAGAAATGCAGTAGAGTGATGATTCACTGAATGTTCAACCAAAAAAGAAAACATTCTTTTTTTCTTCTAGGGAAAATTAATAAATAGATTTTCTAAAACTGGGACCGGGAAACACATGCTGATAGTCAAAATTAATGTTGTCGTTGTCTCTGCACAGCTTATTTCTGTTCACCTGCCATGTTGCACAGTGGTTCCTGTGGGTTATTTTTATAAAATTAGTGAATATAAAATGATCCAGTGGTTTTCTGGATTAAATGTTTTTCTTCTGCTTAGTAACTCTAGTGCACTACTTACCCAATAACAAATGGAAGTGAACCTAATCAGTGTTTGGCTGTATCTCAGTGACTTGTACCAATTCATACTTGTTTCATGCTTTGCAGATTATAAAATAGCCTACTGTTCTGGGTTGCAGTTTTCAGTTCTGACTAGTGTGGGCTCTTTGCTTCAACAAAGAGCTTCTGTTAAAGATGGCTATTGTCTGTGTTTATGCATGCTGGTTTTTAACATCAGCAAAGAGGCCTGTGCGTAAGAGAGGAAACCTGTAAGTGAATTTGTTCAACAGTTAATATCAAAGTTTGTTTTTAGGGTGCATGATGGAGGTTAGTGATACTTATTCCTGTTTTAAAAAGCAGTTTGCTTTTGGGGTTGGCAGCTGATAAACCTGAGCCATTAAGAATGCAGAGCAATCTCCACCCTCATTGCTAATCCTTGAATTTGTAATAGCAGTTTACCTTCCTCCTTAGAATGTCATGCATAATGAGAGAAACATGGGGTCTGGGGAAGGAGATCATTGGCATGGGCATACTTTTCTCTATTAATACCAGTATCTCTCAGCCATTTTTGAGCAGTCCAGTTCTCTTTTACCATTCCAGATGCTATGCTTAAGTGACCTCAGAAGAAGAAGCTGCTGGGGGGGGGGGGTGTTCTGTGCTAGCAACAATTTGGAGAAGGGCATGCTGACCACAGAACCCTAGTTCTGATATTGAAGGTGTTTTCTGATGTTGGGCTGGGACTGAGAAAATTCCTGTGGTTCTGTAGGTGCTGTCCAGGTGGCATAAAATTGCACTGTGAAGCTCTGAAAATGTTTGTTCTTTTGATTCAGTGGAATATCTTCTTCCTGTGATGCTCAGTGAACCTGTGGCAATTTAGAACAGATTTTGGTCTTTGTGTCTGACTCAGTTAAGCTGCCAGTTTTTTGGGGGGGGGGGGGTCCTTGAGTTCTTGAGGGCATGGATCATGCTGCGATCAGAACTGGGTGGTGGTCTTTATTCCAAGCATATTAAGTGAGATTAAAAATTGTGATGTTAGATTGCAGACACTTGTTAACGCACACTGCTATCCATTCTCCACTACCCATTTTTCTCCCTTGCATATGTGCCTTCTTTATTTCCACCCTGTGTGTTCTTGTTTGTTTCTTTCACATTCCCCTTGTGTTGTTTCTTTCACCTTTCCCGTACTAATATTAACCTGAACTAGTTGATATTAGTAATCATGTGTACAGAACCCAGAAGCAGTCTTTGGACTATGTTCAAATTTTATGCAGTGTCCTTGCTGGCAAAGAGGGTCCCATGAGAGTCATTTTTCAGGGCCCAACATGGCACTTCACTTTTTGGCAGCAGCAGCTCCTGGGGCTGGGAAGGAAATTATTCTACCTTTCTACTTCAGGTATAAGAATATTTACAGCCAGTCTTGCCTCCTAATTTATCATCCCATGTCTCCCACAAGGAAGCATTTATTAGTATAATTGTGGTCATCCACCCTGCCCTGTAGTAAACCAGTGAAATCATTACAAGGAGTTAAATATGCACAAGCAAAAAAGCCAATGCATTAAGTTGGGTGGAGGAGGTGGACTGAACTGTTTTCGACAAAGAACATAATACTTGTATTGTCTGGCAGGGCACTTAACTTTGCTTCTATGGACTGTAATTTAGTATTCTCTGGTGGAAAAGAATCCTAAAACTTCTGTTGCTAAAATGCCATTTTAACATCTTGCCTACCCTAAATGAATGCACAGGGAAATGCACAGCACGATGTAAGCAGATGTCTTTTAGGCCACACACTTTTCTTCTAAACAACTGTGCATAATATGACTCCTCCTTCTATTTTAATGCCTCAATGTACAGTGAGAATTTGTTCATTCCTCTGCCAAAGTGCCTCACATCTGACCCCCCCCTCAAAAAAAAAGCAACTTGGGTTGGGGCAGAGAGAAATCTGTAGTTGGCCCCTCTGGTGCTGCCCACCAAAGAACACATACAACATTTTTTACTTAACTAAAAGAGAAGCTGCACTTTGCTTTTGTAGAATAGCTCAGATTTTTCTCATCTTCTATAAAAATAGTTTTCCTGTACTGCAGTGTTTCCAATTCTACAAACTATTGAAAGTAAGACTTCCCATTAGCTTTATTGCAGTGCTTTGCTGTTCTGATTTGATCAAACATTTAATTGAATTTAATAGTGATTTATACAGAGTTTTTTTTCATAATTAACTATTTTTAAACAGAATTATTGCCCTGTAATGGTTAAAAAATACAGATCCATACTTCTCGGTGTTCTAGATGTTTGAGTATATTAGTTTTGGTTTACTATCAAATATATTCTGCACATGGAATATAACAATAACATTATCTTGTGAAGCTGTAAATACTTCTATATTACTAAAGACCAATAAGAATGTAAATGCCATAATTTTGCTTATAACTGTTTGACTCCTGTGGAAATCTGTTCATTATTCAGAGTATAAATAACCTCAATTTGACTTCAGTATTAAATATTTTAAATATATGGTTTACATTTAAATTATCCTATTTTAAAACAGTTTGGGGGATCTTGCGATGCTCAATAAAGCTATTTTTAAAACTTTGGTGCCTCTGGACTGTGCTTGATGCATGCCAATGGAACAAAGAGGTTTGGCCTAGTTTTATTGCCCAGAACAAACTATTATGACAAGTGTGCTATACTGACAGTATAAGAAGAATAAAATATGGGGGACTATCAAAACTTGTACTATTTAATGTTAGGTTACATTGTTTTACTAGCTTTTCAAAATAACGTTCTGTTGGTTTTTTGTTAGACTGCACATTACACTCCATTGAATTTAGGGATACAACAGAAACAACACTGGCGGTGCAAAGGCAAGGTAAGCCCTACTGTCACTTTCCCAGAAACTTCATTTCAAGGAAATATACAGGAAAATAACTTTTCATTAATCTCAAATTATTCAGGACCATGAGCCTGTAAGCAAGTCAATGTATTGATGTATTAGTCTCTATTGGGGACATCTAATGAATTCAAAGGAGAATGTGAAACACAGTTGGGGTGTACTCTGTTCAGGAAGGATGAAATCCATTTCAATTGAATACCAATTTAAGTATCACTTTATTTTTTACATCCTAACTTCTGAAAATAGAAAACTGCAGTTCCTAAACAACGTATTCCTCAACATTCCCATTCAGATCCCACTGGATCTCTCATGAGTTCCAGTCAAACTCATTTTACAGCCAAAAAATGAACAGCTGCACATTTCAATTCCAAGAGTGCAAAATAATCACACTTTGATGTTGCATTGTTAAATAGCATGTCTTAATTTTTCCAATCATGAAATGCATTTGACTGACAACAGTGGACTATTGCTCTGAAGGTTCATTCTACAGTTGACATACTTACATATATAACCAGTGGACTTTATCTGAAGTACCACAGCATATGGGAAGTGTGGAGAAGACAGGTCATCCCTTCCAGGGTATTCCCAACGACTACCATGTGGATGTAAAAGTCTGTGCTGAAGCTTCCCATCACTCTCATGTGCCATCATACTAAAGACTTCAGGTACAAACCGTGGGATACAGTACTGTACTGTGCTGGACACTCATCCTCCAAATTTCCATTATAGACATTACAACTCACACCATATAGAATGCCTTGTAGCAGGAATCTTACCTAGCAAAATATCTGGAGTATTTGAATATTTATCGTATGGCACATTCACATCACACTTCAATAAAAACACAGGTATAAAAATATGACAAAAAATATAAGACCCAAAACAATATAAATGTTTATCTAAATTACAAATAATTTTTTTGCTTCTTTTGTCAAAACTAGGAAATCAGCAAATTCTCCTTCATAAGCATTATTTTGGCACTCTGTCACTGTATGTTGGATAGTTTGCCTTTCAGTCCCACAATCACAATTTGGTGATGGTATTTTGCCCCATTTATAAAGGGCATCTGCACATCTGCCATGGCCAGTGTGAATTAGATGTAGTATTGTCCATATCCCAGGGCTGTTCAAATCCAGGTGGTTTTTCCAAGATGCAGGGTGGACTGCAACATTGTGGGGGGAGATTTTCCACCCGGTGTTGTTCCCACATATTGTGAATATTAAAATCATCTTCTACAAGTGCCTTAGCAATAGTAACATCAGTATTTGTATAAATATTTATTGTGTGTTTTCCTGAAGCTCAAGGCAGGCTTTTATTTTTTCATGGGCTGAATAATGACTAATACAGGTATGTAAGCTTTTAAAGGTGCAATCCTATGCATTTTGGACACAAAGTCTTACAATTTCTTGTATGCCTGGATGGGGAATGCTGGGAGCTACAGGACATTTTTCTGCATAGGATTGCACCCCGAGTTTCAAAGTATAGTGTTGGAGGACTCATTTTCTTGAATGCAGGATTGTCCAGAATAAATAAATTCCCCCTGGAGCGTTCAGCTGCCTACAGTGGAAGCTGCAAGCAGCACATTCTAACATGGGTCCCATGAGGGGTTGTCTGAATCCTAGGCAATGCTGTTGGTGATTGCAATAGCTCAAGTTCTGTTGTAAATACCAGTGAATCGGAATTTCCAGTTTATAGAGAAATATAAATTTTAAAAGTTGTATGTGTTCCTGGTAGAATAACTAAAATGTGGATGAATCCATTTCCTCTGAATTAACTTGTTCCTTCAGTTCATCCTTAACATTTACTTAGTGGCAGCTGTGTTGATGCTGAGATGAATATAAAAGTAGCAGATGAGATGACCAGAAAGTCACCCGACTAATAAGATCCAGACTTAATAGAGTATATATAATTTTGTGCTGTGTACCTAATTATTTCTTGATTATTTCATTTACAGTCACAGGTGGAAGCAGAGGGATTGATGCTCCCAAGGCTAGCATGTAAATTCATATAAAAATTAATCCCTCTTTCTAAAAAGAAATATCTTAAGTCTTTTGGCTATGAGAATGTATGTTCTGTAGTAGAACAGTCATTATATGACTGAAGTTGCTGAGTTGTGACTCCAATTGTAATGTTTACAAAATACCATAACACTCCTTACAAAGAAACAGTTTCTTACTTTTTGTACTTTTATGCAGGAACCAATGCGGTAATAAATGTTTCTTGTGGCTTGTATTTAACCAATTAAATGAAAATAAATTTGTCTTCTTCCTTTTCTTATTAATAGGTACAGAAAGCAACTTTGTCCTATGTGTATCATCACTTCATCTGAGGCGGTGTATCTTCATCTGAGGCTATGTAAAATCATATAAGTGCATTATAACATGTAAAGAACCTATTTTTTTCCCTGGGGGTTGTACAAAGTTAAAAACTAGTCTCTGCCCACATGATGAAAAGGAAAAAGATGTGAAAGGACAAGTTAAATGAGCAAATGTGGGTACCACATCTTAAAGTTTCTCATGTTTTCTTATAATACAAGAGGAAAGGGGAGAAAAGGACTGTTGGTCTCTTGGCTAACGGGAGGACAGACATCAGATCTTTGGGACTTCAAATCTGGTTGCACATGGTAGGCATGTCATGAGTGGAACTGGCTAGAGACGGGGGTCAGACCAGATGGCCTGGGAGATCCCTTCTGACTCACTCTGTTTCTATGTTTCTGTGAAAATGGAAGTCACAAATATCTGGAGATCTACTTTCCGCCCACTCCTGTCTTAGCTGAGCCAGTGGAGTAGATTCTGGTGTCTCTCATATCCTTCAGCTAAAGCCATTTGCAATGGCTGCCAACATATGACAATGCATATGTATCTTCAGGTAAAATACGTAGAAGGAATGTGTTTTCAACTAATTAGCATATTCCATAGAAATAACTTTTCAAAACGAGTGTTTCCCCCACCCCACCCCCTTTGTCTGCTGTGGTGTATATGTAGCCACTGTCAGAATAGCTAGGTTGAAAGGAAACCTTTGGGAGCTGGCTTTCTCCTATAAATGAGTAGACTGTGTGTCACTACTAAAAATAATATCCTTTTGAATGAGAGAAGCTCCTGATGTGTGAGTCATGGCTTTTAATTCATCAGGACTGCTGCATCAGTAGCCGCAGAGGAGCTGTGTCCTTCATTCACACCATTTGCTATTGTCTTCTCACATAAAGTATCCCATTGGCTGCTTTCCACATTTCAATTCTTGTGCACAGATTCATGTTTGCATAGTGACAATATGTGTAATGTGCAGACCATGCAATGTGCTCCCACGGAATAAAATGAAGACTAGAAAAGTCTGGGGTGGGTTGCTAGTAGCTTGAAACAGTTCACATTCTAGTGAGGCTTGCTGGGGACTCTCTTTCTTTGGTCAAAAGCCTCTGAAGAACTTTTGCTAGTTTGATCTCTGAATTATTCAGGTTGATGTATTCTTCTGTTTTTTCATAGTTGGATGAAGAACGTGTGGAGTATTCTGTTTTTATTCTGCACCAAAGTGATAGACACATGTATTAATGCACAAATGCATCTCTATATCAAAGGCTGGCTGTATCAGTGTAATTAACCATTCAGTATTTGTTAGCCAAAGGATATATCAGAAATGAAAAATTCTGCATTGCCTTCAAACTTTTGTATGAATTATGCCAAGTATGGCTAACACCAAACAATTCAGTAATCATGGAAACACTTAAACGTTATCAATTCTCACTGGATACTTTTCATGACCTTTGATGTTGTAACACAGTGACAATGAACTCAGTAGCTTTCTACAGCTTTCCACCTCTGTTTACAGCTGGTTTGTGATCAAAACAGCAAGATTACATTAGCAATAGCTATTAAAAATTGATCATTACATTTCCAAGCAGAATCAAAAATCATGAGAGACTTTGAAAAGTGTAGCATCCTTCAAAGAAGGTAGTCAGTTATTATGCACATATCTCTTATTATGTCATGCATTTGATCTTCAAAGGGAATGCCCTTTCTAGCCATAATAAGATCACAGGAAATAACACTAATTGGGTTCAAAAATTGATCTTATATACCTCAGTTTCTTTTGTAACAACCTCAGAATTTTTATTTTCTCATAGAAAGGAAAAGTGAGAACAAACCCAGCAGGTTAGCTGTATTTGGTCAAAAAGGGGTGCACAGGAAGTTAATTCCTTGCCACTTCTTGGAGCATGTGATAGGGAAGTGTATATGTGCAAGGAAATAATGAATTGCACACAGTAGAGGTATCTGACTGTGGTATCCAAGCATCCCTGTAACATATAAAGATACCCCTTTCTTTCTGCCAGAATGTAAAATCCAGATTTAAAACAAAATTAAGACACAACATAAAAACAAATACATTAAAAAAGCCAATAGAAGAAATGGCATTATCAATTAAAAGCAACAGGTAGCTAACATACTAAAAGGCCTGCTTGAAGTAAAGTATCTTTGCAGAGGAAGGACAAAAGACTTCTCTGCCAGAGCAGCCACAGAGAAGGTCCTCTCTTGCACCCGCATCTGATGTGTCACTGATGGTCGCTGTACTGAGAGAAAAGCCTAGACAGTGGGCAAGCTCAGATAAGGGAAGGCAGTACTGCAAGTAGTCTGGTCCCAAGGTGCATCGAGCTTCACTGGTCATAACCAAGCACTTCATGCGGTGCCCATAAACAGACTAGTACATA